TCCAGTCCATGTAGTTCCTGGTTGTCGTTCATGGCATGGTCCGTATTGACCTCCACTTCTAACAGTTTTTTTCGCTTTTCACTGAGATCTTCTGACTCCTTGTTTCAACCATTTTACCTGAAACCGTCTCCCCTTTCTCGGTCCGGGCTCGTTTGATCCAATCCACAAAAGGATCGGTCATAGTTTTTCTTTGCTTCTCAGGTATAAATTTCCTAGAGCTATTACCTCGTTTCGGTATCCTTGACTTGTGTGGACTCATTCTCTATTTGTCACTTCTTAATGCCTATACACTTAATTCGATTGCTAGTGATCTTATAGTTTGACTACCAATAATAATGACACAACACAATAAATTTCACAAGATTCTTTAAAATAGTGACCACGAATCTCTGTATGTTATCAGAGTACAGTTTGTATATAACTTATTCACACTAACCGATTATCGGTCGTAAGGTTTAGAAACTAGCACAATATGATGTTATCGGTCAATTTAAAAGATAGTGTACTCACTACCCAATCAAGCACAGTTTATGTTGATTTAAAATCAAAAACAAAAAAAAATATTTAATGACAGAATACGAATATCTCTATAAAAAAACGTATGTGTCCTGTATTTTTAGTCGGTCGCAGTACAATAGTCGAACTTATATTTTAAAGAAAAAGCTTTCCCTGCTTGGTGCTGCACCAAACAGACAAAACTTTGAAGGCAGTAATTTTCTCAAGTGGGCGTCTATTGCACCCACCGAGTACTGTGTTACCTATCTGCCTTCTGACTGCCCGAGCTAGACCTACTAAAATCCTCAGTGCAGTCACTTTTCACAAAAACGTCTTGGGTTTCAATCCACACCAATGAATTACGCTCTTTTTAGTTTAGACTTAGTGTCGCGAATATCCGAGTTCGGACCTGTTTTGTTTTGGTCTGGTTCTTATTGAAAGGCAAGTTACCAGTGCAGTCACTGATTCCTAGCCTGTGTGCTAATAACCTAATACCTCTCACTTTAGTCTGTCTTCCGTCTACCTAAGTCCTTTAATAAAATAATACCCCTCCGGATTGGCACAAATAGGACCCTTCCGTACTAACAAAATCTAGAACCCTCCGGATTGGGACCCCTCTGAGTTAGTTAATATAAGACCCCTCCGGATTCGGACCCCTCCGAATTAGCAACTACAAGACCCCTCCGGATTCGGACCCCTCCTAATTTGAAAAAAAAAATTTTGACCCCTCCGGATTGGGAGCCCTCCGGTTTTGTAAAAGTAGCTTTTCGGAGATTTCCTTCTTTCAACCTATACCCCTCCGGATACGTTCTCCGATGCAATTTTGCTCTTTCAATTGACTAGGAAGGGTATGTACTACTTTCCTAGACCCTTCCGGATTGAAGTTAAGCCTCCTATTTGACAATTCACACTAACGGTGAAGGGTCTTATCGCTCGCCTAACTTCGGCTCGAGTAAGGTTTTTCTGTGCCTTTAGCCTTCCCTTTTCGTCTAGAACGGCCTGAATTTACTTTATTCAACCGCTATTACCTTTTGGTAGGGGTATAAGGGCTTTTCTAAAAGAAATTTACAAAACGTGAAGGGTTTGCCCTCCCAAATTGGTGAATTTGCTAAAAACAATCTCAAAAAACTTTTACGCCCACTTTTCCGAAAAACTTTTGTCCCTATCAGTAAGCTCAGCTAATTTTTGATCTATTGGTACCAAGATCAACTCAATATGCCTGGTAGTTCCAAAGTTATTAGCCAAAACGTCTTTTTTCTAAAGTCAAGAAATTTCTCTCTTATAGGTTTCGCCTAACTTTTTCCGCAATTCTGGTCCTTTCGACCAAAAAATTATTGATCCGAGCTCAGAAGGCCTATACTCTTCTAGTTCAATGCAAAAGACCCGATCTAAAACGCTTTAGTTGAAAAAATTTGCGAAAAACTATGCTACCTGTACCCCTCCGGATTGATGAATCCACCAAATCAAACACGTTAAGTTCGATTTCTCTGCAACCTGGAAGGCTTTCGGGTAGCGGGTTTTAAAACTTATAGATTCACTAGTGGACGTTGTCCGAACAACTATTTTTACTGTTATAACTCAAAAATTTCAAAAAATTTTCTGAATTTATAGTGTTTCGTTTTCTCAAAAATCACGAAATTTCGGTTTTGTTACCAAAATAGTTCCAACCACTTTCGAACTAAACTTAACCGGTTCTTTCTATTATGGTAGTGCAGTTACGGTGTAACACACTAACTTAGCGCTTTTTTCCGTTTCAAAAAATATCGATATCTCAAAAATCGCGACTTGTGGGGGGATCAAAATATCGCTATTTTGACCCTAAAAACCGGTCTACTTTCTGTGTTTTTCACTGAAAAACGGTATAAGAGTATTAATATAGGCTATATTAGTAATAATATTAGTAATACTATACCCCTCCGGGTTTGTTTAATATCCGAATTAAGGTGCTTAACTCGGATATTCGCAGTTCGGTGAAGGGTCACTGCAGTGCAGCACTGTCGAGCCCCCCACAGATTACTATCTTACTTTTTGTACCAAAAGGGATACAAAACTTGTTAACGATACCCAACAGTCGATTGTTGTTGTCGTTGAGCGCCTTCTTGTTGCTCCTTGTACTGCTTGCCGGATCAGTCTTCTCCCAAGACCCTTCCGAATTGAGCGCAAATCAGCTGACCCTTCCGGATTGAGCGCAATTTATCATTAACGTGCTTAAATGCTCAAATAACCCTACAGTACAAGCCTCACAAACAGGCTACTAAATTGATCGTAACAATCCTGACTGATATAAATGCCTGTAACAACAATATATCTATCAACAACAACGGGGGGGTCGGATCACATCTTGTCTGGGGGGATGAGTTCTACTGATTTTTTACTTTTTTTTTTTTTACTGTTTTTGGTTTTTTCGGTTATTTTTTATGTTTTTTGTTTTTCTTGGGTACTATACTACTTTTTGTTTGGTTTTATAAATATCTTTAAGTGTTTTTGGTCACAAACCTCTCAGGGAACGATGGAATGGCCGATCCCCCCACCCTTCCTGATTCGTGAATTTTCGGTCTTAACTAAGTTAAAAAGCTATTCACGGTAATCCGGAAGGCTTCCGCGTTCCAAACTACCCTTCCGCCCCGGAGGTTTAGGCCTATTAAGGGCGTTAATGTGAGCATCTGCTCGGCGCGGAGTACTCGTCAACGGTTCCGCCGGTCATGATGTCAAAAAAGAATAACACCCAGGAGCGCCATAAAAACATGTATGTAACATTCGCCCGGAAGATACATATCGACGGAAAATAAAACTAAGTCCTAAGACGACTGGCTAACGTCTAAACAGAGCTTTATATGCTTTTCACCGTCTCTACCAAGCCAGTACTTTTCGGTGGTCTTTTCTAACATCGGGTCGACAAAAAACGTTACTGCTTTGGGCTTCGGTCAAAACACTCAAATTAACTTAATTACATGCGGAAATAGTGAGCTCATGGCTGGGTCTCAATATCCCCAGACCACGAGGTCACTCCTAAAAACAAGGCTACTACTTATTGAATTATTATTGTTTTTGTTCAGTAGATAAAAATCATCATCTCCATCGAAGATGGATCAAACCTTTCCCCCAACTCCTAGCTTCTCATCCTTATCAAAATGAATCCAGTTGTTAATTAAATTCAATTCAGGACATGACAAGAAGCTAAAAGTTTATATAAAAGAATAAAAGTTTCATTTCCGAAACCCTTCCGGATTCTTGAATCCACTGAATCAAGCTCGTTAATCTTGACTTCTTCGTAATCCGGAAGGCTATCTTCCACCCTTCACCGTTGTCTGCAACGGCCTTGCAACTATTGTAGCGACACAATAGTTGCAACTCGGAACGTCCTCTTGTTTTTCTCTGTTGTTTTTCCATCACAATCTTCGTTGTTTTCGTCAGTGCGACTATCGTTATTCTGTTGCTTTTCAGCTTCTCTTGCCAAAATGGCCGTTTCTGACGTTTCTCAGAAATGTTACGTAATCACTTCGAAAATTTAAAATTTAGGAATTTCCGAATCCTTCAACCTTCACGTTTTGTTCAATCGTTCAAATAACGTTCTTAATCCTCCAAAATCACTAACTCGGAAGGCTCGCTGCTAAAAATGACTAAACTGCAGAGATTGCATTTTGGCACATTCTGGTCGAATGTCACATATATTGATGCTTATCGAAGGGAATTACGGAGTACTTGTGCTCTCTGTGGTTTTTTTCTGCTGACAAATTCAGCTTTTTTCACTAGCGGCTTTTGACGGGAGTTTTTTTCATCATCTAAAAGCATTTGAGTTATTGAGCTCATATTGATGATATATTTTACCAGTGACAATTTTTTGTAAAGTTATGGGGTCTGAAAATTTGAAGTTTGGCATATTCGGGATGAAAGTTTTGTTTTTATAGTTTTTTCATTCTATCGAAATCTATATGCTTGTGGTGAGGGTGATTTTTTTTCAGACCAGATTCGTTTTTTAATAAAACGTGTTCAGCGAAATATTGTAAAGCATTTTTAAGCGTTTTAAGTGAGTTTTTGTTAAAGCAAGAAATCAATGCCTTGAGCTCAAAATCAATAAAATTTCCTGTCTCAACTTTTGTTTGAATTTATGGGAGTTTAGATGAAGGTTATCTAGCCAAATTGGGATAATTAGAGTGCTTGGAATTTATATTTTTTCATTAGTGCAAAGCACATGCAGCAAACGAACCCAGCTCAAAAAATTTCATATTGAGTTGAAGCGAGCTAATTGATTCGAAAAATGAGTTAATAGATGCAAGTTGTCACTTTGTGTTTGCATTGGTTATAATACATTGGTTGTGGGGGAAGGTTTTTAAACACCTTGAAAAATGTCAAAAAAAACCTGATCAAAGTTTTTCCTTGAAATAATCATGATATCTTCTAGTTTTGGACAATTGAAAGAGCATTGATTGGCTGAGAGTTTACGCGCATTCGGTCCTTCGCGCATTATAGTAGCCCTCACAAACTTCCACTGAATATGTTTTTAGGCCCTGTTCAGCCACTTCCGGTCGGCATTCAACACCGTAGTGCTCGGATCGGAGAGTTCAAAGGTCAACTCTATGGTCGCTTTCCTGCAACATTATCTGCTGGAACACGAACAAGACTGCAGAAGGTTATTCGACGAATCAATCGCAGACCTCGTAGATTTCTCTCATTAGTTATAACCCAAAAAAAGTTTATGAGATACCTTCTAAGCAGAAAAAAACATCAGAACAAAAAATAAAACAACAATGACAACCCATTACGGCGATGCTTAAAATTATCCGGACAAAACGAACGAAACTTGAAAACTAAAGCAAAAGCTTAAGCAGAAATATGACGTGCAAATTTTTTGCGGATTTTTTTTCAGCTCTAAAATTTTACCCCAAAAAAGACCATTTTTCGTTTTCTTTAGTCAAAGTAAAATTACGCCAAAGATTTTGGTTAAGTTGCCGACAAATTTTTCTCCAAGTGAGCTTCTTATGTAGCCTCACAAAAATAAAGCAAGGTGTAATCTCCAACAATTAGCGCAAAACGTCTTAAAATTGTTTTTATGTAAAAAATGGCCAGCAAACAACTTTTTTTGAAAAGAGAAGATTATACCTTTCTTAAACTTTGAAGAAGCTCAATTTTATAGAGTTTTGTCATCAACTCAACGTCAAAAATTACGTCCAATAGTTTTGACGTAATTTTTCATTGACTAAAAAAAGTAAAAAATGGTCATTTTTGGGGTACAATTTAGGTTTTGCAAAAATAACTTTACTTTTCAACAGTTTTTGCTTACAGTCAACCCAATGTGAAAAAACGCTTTAATTTTTAAGTTTCAATCGTTTTGTTTGAATAATTTAAAACAATTTTTTATTTTCAAAAAACTTAGTAGGCTTTCAAAAATTTCTCAAAAGGTCAAAAAAGACGATAATTCAAAAGAAGAAAAAACAACTCAACTCTCAATGGTATACGCTGGTCTAAAACAAAATTACATTGAGAAGAACAAAAATAACGATCGATCATGTTGAAGAATCTAATTCAAAAAAAGTTTTTCAACAACTTAAACGTTAAAATTGTTTTAAAAGTTGCCGTCTGGACTAAGGGATTGCTTCCTTAACTCCTTTTCTGGCTTTTGCTAGGACGGACAAGAACTTTTATTAGGTGTACGGTTTCCTGTTTCGAAATTTGCTTCGCCCCTTTCTCGTCTGGGCTGTTTTTTTTCGACTTCAGGCTCACCCTGCAAGATGTTTGACGGTATTTAAATTCAATGTTTTAAATAGTTATCCAGATATACAAGGCCCATAACAGGGCCAAAGTTTTTTCTATCAATTATCGAGACTGGTGATTCGGCATATAATCTGATTAATTGGGTCCCGCAATTCAAATCGACGGCATCCTCTAATCAAGTGAATCCTTTTTTTTACTTAAGCATTCCTAATTTCAGTTTACCTCAAGCTTTCTAGCCTTTCGACTATCATTCTGACAGTCACTATTTTCCGAGATCAATTCGACCTAATTTTTTGCACTCGCGTCTCTACAGACCAACTTGCCATTTTAAGCTCTAAAATTGTTCTGCCTCTTGGAGGCTCTAAGGTACTCTCCAGTTCCTTATCCTGACTTATCTAACTTATCCTATTAGTTTTGATCAAAGTCACGCCATTCTGTATCAGTCCTGTCATCCACCTAACTCACTCCTCTTATGTTAAAACTAACAACTACCAAATACGATTTCATTTATCAATCTCGTCACGCTTTTTAGATACAGGTATGCGGTAGGTGTCAAATTTGACCCAAGCGAACAAACATCATAAGATTTTAATCGACAATTTCTTGAGCTCCGCGAACTCGCGCCTAGTTCAACTCGCCTACAAGCAACGCAATGTTTACTCAGTGAACCTCCCAAGGTCTTTATTTTAATTTATCCATTAATGTTTTTAAGATTTCCTTTTTCTAGTGCAGTTGAAGTATATATTCCCGGGTGAAAGTCGTGCACCTAAAAACCCAACGTCTACCCTATCCTAATCACATCGTTCTAGCTCCTAAGGGCATGCCGTTTCTTCTTCGGATGTTCCCTCGTGTCAAAAAACTATCTCCTGGAAGCTAATTGAACATTCTGTCCTTTCGGGTTTCTTAATTCATGTTCTTATCGTATGCATATACTAACCATTTTGTGACTAATTTTCTACGTTCTGGTCTTAATTCTATAAATAGCGCATTCGCCAAGCTAAGATGAACTCAATATTTACCAAGTCCACTCAAAATTTACCGTAATTAAATCCACTACTGCAACACTCTCTTCTAAGAGAAAGGTTTTATTTTAGGCTATCCGTAAAGTTATCAAGGGGTCAAACTTACCAGGAAAGACTTAGGCCGTCTCATAGGGATCCTACTCAACTTCGTACTCAACATACTTCACGGGTAATCACAGTCTGAAGGTCCATTATCACTTCGCGGGAATTCACTATTACGACTGGTGACACAGGAGGTGTTTAGTTCACTAGGGGTACTTTTTTCGGGACCTGGTTCCAGTAGACAGCTAACATAAAGTCGACACGCCCTCGCTCTCATTGTTTTGCGTAAAATTGCCAGTTTTCGGTCTAAGAAGGTTTGTTGCCCAGTGCGAATAGCTTCCGAACAAACCATTGGAAATAGTTTTAGTTTTCTGCCATTAGCTGGGTTCGAAAATAATCCACAGAGAATTCACACTTAAGCATCCCTTGCCTCGGTCTACAACATACTAGAGTTTGAGCCCAATACGGCCGCTAGGTACCGATATCCGATATGGTGATTGTCTTTTCCGGGAACTGTAGTCACTTGCCCGCCATGGGTCCGAGGGGTCACGATAACATAAATCTCAGGGGTTCCCAATCCGTGGGTTTTGATTCGCCGATTTTGTTGCACTGTTATTTTCTGGCATAGGAGGTACTAATTCTTCCGAACTTGATCTTGTCTAGTACAGACTCATTGTTTAGCTAGCTACTTATCGTGTTGATAATTCAATACAAGTCTACGTACTACTTATTAGCTTTACTATGCTGCGTGCAATTCCCAAACTTATGCTCTCTCAATTTGATTTTGAAATGGCCGAAAGGTATTAGGATCAACGATCCTACATTTTCATAATTTTTTTTCTTATTTTGCACAAACAACGTTTTCCAAAACAAAAAATACGGGTCAAGTATGGGAAAAGTTGAAAAAATTGATTTAGTTTGTTGAACACTTGAAGCGTTCAAATATAGGAACAACCAGGAAAAAAAGTTCGATTCTATTTACACAGATACCTGCGTGACAGACTTCAAGCATCGTCTGATCAACACTAATACATGCAGAGGGTCACTGAGATGTACCACTTTAAAATAAGTACATGAGTATAAAAAACTAGTTGCTGTTTGAATATGATGACATAAGATATACTGCCGATAGTTTGCCAAAACTCTTACTATAGATATGTAAAATAGTGATGCGACGATTCGTAATAATCGATAATTTCTAACAGGCGACAATTCGTAACAAACGACAATTCGTAACAAACAACAATTCATATCAGGCGACAAATTGCAACAGTATTTTAAGCGGCGCCAAAATTGTACGGTTTTACTCAGATTATGAATCACTTGTTTGGAACCCCGGCATTTATCTTGAATTTCATTATGTTTTTCAGAACACTATTTCAAAGTCAACAGTTTGTGAAGTTTCAAGCTTTTAAATTCAACTTTGCAAAGCACAAGCGACAAAACGCAAACATAGGCTTTAAAAAGAGAAATCAGAAACAAAACACTAAAAACAGACCATGTGAAATTAAATTCTATTATGAGTCGGAAACAAACACCCAATCTGAGGATTCAGCGTCTCATCTCCTCGTGCCAACACAATATGTTCTTGAGGTTTTCAAGACACTAGCTATCAAGACCATAAATAAACTCATGCTATGAAACTGCTAATACTATGAAGCAAAATTTCATTAAAATGAGCACTATTTTATATGAGTTGGACTAGACTCGTTTTGTAACTCATTACTAGCAAGATTGCTTGTGTCAACAAATAGAGTTCAGTTTTAAACTTATTCACAAGCACAAATACAACTTGTGCCAAATTAAGGAAGTCTTCGCTACTTGCCAACGTCTGGTTTGATAAAAATTATCAAACTCAACCCTCAGAGATTACACAATCCAGCTTGAGAGCATTGAGTTAAATTAAGCCAATCCGCATTTTTTTTGCAATCTAAATCGCGTAAATTAATGCTCATTTACGTGGCTTTTTTGCTATGCATAGCAAAAAGCAGTTTCATAACATCAGTTTATCCTCGTTATTGCTGGCTAGCATTTTAAAGGCACAGAGAGCGCATGCCGTAAACACGAGGAGGTGCAACTTTTAGTCCACAGGCTGGGGCTTTGACTGCGCCTTAAAGCCAAAGTTTTTCCGAATTCTTTTTTGCATTTACTTTCCTCATTTCACTTGTTAGAGCCAATTCCTGACGTTTTGTCGCTTGTACTTGGGAAGTGCAGCTTCGCCTCGGTGTTAAAATTTTTCTGAACATGAAAAAAAGGAATTTCTAAATAATGAATTTACACAGAGGCGAAGCTTTGCTTCGCAAACACTAGCAAGAACACGGCAAAAGTCAGTTCTATAAAATTCAATAAAAATTAGAAATAACCCTCGAATTAGTAAAAAAAAAATTGGTTACTTCAAAACTGTGACCTAGAGATTAAGACTGTCACACACTAACCACTCAGCCACGGCACTTGATAGGCACCAAACACAAGTCACGAATCAGGCAGAGAACAGATGCTATGCAATTTTCAAATAAATTAACATTTTTAAGGAATATTTTATTTGCGAGTTAGGTTAGAAAAAAAAGAAGGTTCTGGAACCTGATCTAAACTATATTTTATGATTGGATAAATTAAATGTTTTACCAATGTAAAGTATTTAATATTAACCAATCATGATCCATCTAACTAACAACCCACTTATTTGTAAGTGCTGAAGTTACTTGTAATTTCAGCACCAGAGAGATTTGAATTTAACTTAGAAATTAGTTGGACTCTCCCGAGCACTTCAGCAGCCGCAATAAACCAGTATACCCTAGATCTATTGAGCCTAGCAGAGACTAGTTAAACAACCTGAGACTAGATAGTATAAGAG